ATCCTTGTACCTGGATGTCCAGAACCTCTACTTGAGTGACCAGCCATTCTCTTTAATTTCTCATTGGATAGCCCAAAGGTTTAAAAATGACAAATTGAATCCAGGAGGCAATCAAGGAATTACAAATATCCCTCTCCAACTTCTTCCATGGCTTAGTTCTATAAAAATTAAATTTTATAGACTTAACTTTATGCATGGTAGTCAGTCATCATTCTAATTTGTTTTCAAGATTTGGACCAAACAAGATGTAAAGACATAAACCAAAGTAAAAAAAATAAAAAAATTAAGTGATAAACACAGAATTACAAATATTTGTATCATTCTATTCTGTTGGAATCTGGCACTAAAAAAAAAAAACAAACCCAACACACCACTCATAGAAGACCCCAGGCTTTAGACAGCATTGCCGTAAGCACATGAAGAACCATGTAGCTGCCTCTGTTTTTGCACTAAGTCAAGAATAAGGCTCTTGGGCAATTATCCTATAAAATGTAACAAGGAGTACAGCAGCATATTTTGTTTGAAAAGATTATGGCACCAAAGGGAACCACAGAAACGGAAAGAATACCTCTTATAGTCTTTACCATAAAAACCACCAAACAACAAACCTCAAACCCTTTCTTTACAAAACCTATCCAAGATTAATATAATGACCTCTGAATCCAAGGGGGGGAAAAAAACAAAAGCACTTCAGCCTGAGTTACAGAGAGTAACACATTACTTCATGTATCTATCTTTTTTGCTCTTATAAAGAGTTAAAATAAAAAAAAAAAAACTAATTAATACTTGAACGATTTTTCATCTTCATTCATCCCCATAAGTGAGAAGAACTGCTTTTCAAAGTAAAACTCACGAACTGATAAGCATGATAAGAAGTGCCTGCAAATGGGGACAAGAGCAGAACCGCCCGATGAGGCAGCAAATAACCACTGCATTGCAAGAGGAGTCTAAACACTGCAATCGAAATGAAACAGTGATCAAGGGAGTCAAAATCTTTGTCTATTCACCTGTGTTAAGGCAATCAATGGGGCAGAGGGCTAGCCTATACTCATTTAAAAAGACACAGCCTTTCTTCTCCTGCAAACATCTCTCCTACAAGAACGAGGTCGTGCAAGCTTTTCAATATTGGAAGGTGCTAGAGCAGAAGGTGAGAAAACAGAGAAGAGTATGACATTTATCCTAAACATCTGAACCTTAAAAAAGGTATTCTTTTAACTCCCATTATCTCACCAGATTTTCTGAAAGTGCAATCTTTGCATGACTGCTTGCAAACCTCTTTTTCTACTACAGGTGAACCAGGGGGAAAAGGGTTGGTTTACAGAAGCTTGGCTTCTCCTGTTTACTCCCCTTTATTTGTTGATACACTGTGTTTGGGGTTTTCCCCTTCTCTGCATAGCCAGTCTATTCTGAACTAAATGCACAAGAACAATATATGGACTTTATGCAGCTGCAGTTCCAAAATTGTACTAACTACTGCAGCCTTGAAGTAGAATTTCTCAGGATACTGTTGCTTGTTAACAAGTACTGAAGCACAAAAAATGGCCTGGCTCCAAGGATTCCATTACAACAGGCACTGGTACATGCCTTTTTTCCTAACACTACTAAAGCCACTGTTTTTCTCTGCTGAGCTCAGGCCGAGCACAGAGGTATAACACTCCTTCTGAGAAGAATAACTTCCTTCCAAGAACAACCAAAGTGAGGTGGGCAAACAGTGGGAGGAGAATGACTGATAGCAGAAGCCTTCAAAGGAGCAGATGAAGAAGCCTGTCTTCCCATTACCACAGAACCTCACAAATACCTGTGGAAAAGAAAGAATCTGCAAGAGAACCACAGACTAGCTTCAACCAGTTTGCATTTCCACCCTGGATAATTTAGTTATCAATTGATACAAAACTAACCGAACAAATATTTGGGCTTGGGTGGCTGGCTGGGTTTAGGTGGGGTTTTCTTCCCCCATCTTGCACACCATTTTCAACATTACACAAATACCCCAAGAGAACTTAATCTCAAACCTCCTTGGATTTCAACAAATGAGAAGAACAGACCCTATCGTACTTATACATAAAAAAAAGTAAAATAATACATTTTAATTCTTCTATGTAGGTGTGCCTAGGTCATACAGAAAACTACTAAGTGAGCAGCTACTAAACCGTTCTTTCAAATATAAAACAAACTCCTGCTGGTAGAAGCATTTCTCAAAATTAAATTAACTTTAACATGTATTTATCATTAACATGCAAAGTAAATATTTTAATTTATAGGGCAAACTAAATATTATGGAAGTGGACAACACTAAACCACTGTACACGCCACAATTTCAATATACAGTAGTTTAGGAATAACTAGAGAACAGAAAAGAAAAAAAAGCATTACTTCCTAGCATAACCACCAAGCAGTAGTATCTCCTTTGTAAGTCAATATTAAACTAGCAGAGAAACCACTTGCTGTTACAGTAGCCTGACCCAGAGAAAAGCCCCAGAAAGTAACAAGTCTCCTAACACAGCACATACACTAACAAAATCCTCACAAACACAAGGTAAATTAGAAAGTTACCCTAACGCAGTTGAATATAGACTTACAACATGGTTTTCTGTACTACAAAGGCTTAATTCTGGAAGACAAATTCCTCAAGAGGGAATCTAGTCTTCCAGTTTCTGCATCAATGAAATAATTTTAGTCTGCATAGTTCATGACAAAATAACTGTAGGTTAGAAACTACCTTTGCTAGTCTTGGGGAAAATGCACAGCCAAGGTTTGAAATAATGTGCGGGTCTTATAATTAATGTATCTTTGTCTGGTAAGTCCAAAATGATAAAATGTTTGTTTGGTCAGCAACCCATGAAGAACTGCTGAGAGTTGCCAAAAGAAGTAAGAAACTAGGTGAAAGGTAATACCAGCCGGGGAAGATCGCAACCACCGACTCATGGACAACCCACCGCAGTTTTACCACGGACCCGAGAGAAGAACCAAGCATGCACACTAATTTAAGGACTAGGCAAGGAGATTTTACCCAATCATTATTAAAATAATAATGCATATGTATCAGAAAGTTGACTATGTTAATGCTCTGTGTATAAATAACCGTTCATCAGAAAGCTTGGTGTGCTGTACTGGGACAGACACCCATCTCCGTGTAGATACACAATAAAATAAGTTTTTGGGACAACATAGTGGTGTTCACTATGTTCATACTAAAATATTAAATATAAACAAGCACAATAATTCACTGGGAACTTCAGTTAACAACATTATATGCTAGTTATTAGAAAAAACATATTTTATATTCATGATTTTTATCAATGCCATGGAACTTTTCAAAATTTACCGTTTCCTTTGTACTGCAGAAAATATTCCTAAACTTAAATGAGATGAAATCATATTTCTAACAAGTACTCAAAAATAATAACTTTTGATCTGTGACCTTTTAATGTCACATTTGAAGTATAAGGTTTAAACGTGAGATAAGACAAGCTTATAATAGAAACACTGTCATATACTGGCAGAATTCCCAGCTATATCACGCTGCATGAAACAGAGGTCGAACAACGCAGCAGCATGTTTCTGGATACCTCTCTGCCAATCTGAATCTAAACACTACATAGCAGACAGAGAAAGATTACGATTATAACGATACAAAGTGTTCTCTTATTCACCATTTATAACTACCGCCCAATTTGTAGCTCTGAAGCACATCAGAGCACTGGAATGCCTCACACCACTGCAAACCAGTTCAGCAATTTTGATTGCATTGGTTTTCTTTAACCATTAAGAGATTAAACAAATGAAGTCCCCCAAAAGACTTGCTTATTTCTACAAAATAAATGGGGAAAAACAAACTGATGATAAACTGATTTTTATGCACTGAGTTTTAAATAGCAATTGATAACTTTGGCTAATTTGAGATATTCCACTTTGCCCTCTTCTCAAGCCATTACTTACTATGCTGGGCTTTCTGTTGCTTTATTTAACTTGCTAGCTTTGTGTGCTCAGAATAGCTTTACATTTGAACAGATCAGTTAAAGAAAAGTAATCTTTCTAAAATCAGGTATGCAATAAATCATAGAATCATAGAATGGTTTGGGTTGGAAGGGACCTTAGAGATCATCCAGTGCCACCCCCTGCCATGGGCAGGGACCCCTCCCACTAGCCCAGGTTGCCCAAAGCCTCATCCAGCCTGGCCTTGAACCCCTCCAGGGATGGGGCATCCACAGCTTCTCTGGGCACCCTGGGCCACTGCCTCACCACCCTCACAGGAAAACATTTCTTCCTAATGTCTAGCCTAAATCTGCCCTCTTCCAATTTAAATCCATTCCAATCCTTTATTGTGAAGCAGGAGATGGCAACTGCTAGAACACGCAGGTAAAGGGCCATATCAGGAAACATGTCTGTGATCAAAATTTCTCCTTGAAGATATCTAATAAGCAGAAAGGCATTCTCCCAAACTACAAGGAACAGAAGCCTAAAACCAGGGTTCCAATGTCAAAGAAGAAAAATACATGTCATACAGGATTTCTGAAGGGCAAAGAAAACAAACAGACTTGCAAAGTACTAGGAATAGAGGAAAGACAGTAGAAAAATATGCTAAACAAACCATTATAAAAAAAGGCCTGCTGGAACTAATTCTGAAACAGACCTTGCTTAACATGTTAACAAACAACGTTTTAACTCCTGAGTCATCTTAAGCCTTACATCTATGTATTTTTTAATAATCGCAATCATCTTTCAGCAGTCAATACAGCAGCATCCACCACCTAACTCAAAATCATCCTGCAAGTAAGTAAATGCTTCCCACTTACATATTAGAAGAAAAACCACAACTTGCTACAAAAAGTTGCACATACAATCCTACAACTTTCATTAAGAAAAAACCCACCACAATTAAATCAATTTCAGTTCTCCAATTAGGAAAAAACAGAAATATTGTTTGGACATTAAAAAAAAACCAAAGATGAACATGACAACAGAAGTATATAGATTATTCCAGCTGTGTTTGTACTTGCCTAGCAATACTTTAGCATCTTCCACATCAAAATCTCCATCTCCGTCAGCATCATATATCCCAAGCTTGCCTAGAAATGCAAAGAGAGGAAGAAGAGAGAATTAGGGATTCAGCAGTTTGTTTCCAGCGCAGTGCTTTCAATGTGCGATGGCTGACTGCCAATGCTAGGTTGTTACGATACCTTTTTAATGATTTAGCTGTACTCTCCTTAACCATATCGTAAATTTGCTGGAAAAATATTACAAATATTTTAAGTTCCTTTCTCCATTTCCTAGACTTCAGACCGAACACAAATTCATCTTTTTTCCATACATTTATTTCTGGTGCTCGCGGATTTAAAACAAATCTGTAATTAAGTGATGAGCTTTATGTGAACATGTTTTGCTCAGAATAAAATCTATGTTCACAAGGAACTGTCAAAATGTTTGAGGGTAAAGAAATAATAAATCAATTTATCAAATAATCATCGTTTGTTTTCTAATTATATGTTTTTTGCCATTCTAAATTCTCAGAAAAAAAAAAGTTGTCCATCCTTTTACAGGCGACTAATATATCAGACTTGTCACTTTTATTTTTGAAACTGCAGCTCTACTAGCCCTAAGTATAAGCAAAAGCAGAACCCAGTTTCTATTAAAAAATAATTTTTAGCACAGAGTCATGGTATCCAAGATTAGAAGTGTCCTGGGATCATCAAGTTACTAGTTATCTAATTAGTTTTGATAAAATTCAGACATAACTCTTAATAGGATTGAAACTCTGTACACCGTTTGCAGAACTGTAAGTCCTTAGCTTGCCAGTTTATTATTACATTTGACTTCTCCAAATAGAGGCAGAACTTGATTGCCATTAAAATAAATGAAATACATGATTAATGTAAGACTTAAAAAATTAGAAAACAGTTCTGTGGAAGAAAAGGTTCAGACCTGTGTCTAGAGTAGACAAAAAAAAGGCCATCACACTGAAGCAAACAATTCGAAAGGATCTTATCAGTTTACGGTTAAACACAACAGACTGGTGGAATAAATGTAATTCTCTACAAATAAGAAGAATTGCATCATCTTCAAAACCATGAATAATGAAACAGATGAGAAATGATTGAGTTTCATGTAATTGTAGAAGAATAGTAATTCTCTAAAAAATAAAAAAAAATGAAAAAGTAAACCAAAATTTTTAGCCAAGGGGCTATAAAGTAATTTTGCTTCTCTAATATCCTACCTTGTAGGACCTCTGACAAGTTATAACGGAAATCCTTTGCTTTGGCTGCATGCATAGTAAAAAATATAGAAACCATTATTTGCATCACTAGACCCAGTTAAGTTTCAAACCAGAAGCTTCTCTGAAAAGCAGTCCAGATCAAAAAAACATATACCAACAGACTTGTAAAGCTGTAAAGCTCGCAGAAGTGCATGTTGAAGCCCACAGGTTCAGGGACAATAAACAGCTCTACCTATGGACGCACATCTTGAAATCTGACACATTAATTTTCACCCTTAGGTCTTACATTAACCATGCTATCTTAACACTGACAGATTGCGGTACAGTTATCATCATTATAAGCTTGAAACTAAGGTCATTCAACAGCGCATTCACGAGAGGATGACTGATCAGCAGTCCTGACCCTATGGGCAACGCAGTCCATCGTAAGAGCGGTAACATTAGCTGCCTGCTTTCAACCCCTGCAGCAAGTTTCTGAGAGCTCAAACTGAAAAAATGCATACGTACCTGACCTTTCACATGAACTACAGCATGCATGTTACAAAGAGATCCAAATCTACCCTTGGAGAGTTCTGAAATTCTTTAATAAACATAGGATATCAATAACCTTTCTCAGTCTTAGGAGAATCCCACTACAACATCATAAAGGTGTTCAGCAGTAAAACGTACTTTTTGAACGATATTGCCTATTCTTATCGTGTAGGTCATTTGCAAACATCACAGTCGTCAGTTCAGCTCTCTAGAAATTTAAAATGGCCTCCATTTAATGTACGTCATAATAATTATTAGAATCATCTTAAGATTTAAAATTCTTACCTAGAACTTCTTCATAATCTACAAGTTCAAACCAGACAACTGCTACTGACGTCCAAACTCCCAGCAAAGCAATTACCATAAACCAGGTGAAGAACGAGCTTCCAGAGAGGCCTTCTTTCTTTCCATTCCTGCCTCCTCCATGCTTACTCTCTGTTAAAATAAGAAAAAAAAGTAGGAAAAATGGATTTATATAAGAGTTAGAAAATCATGACTGAGGATATAATTATAAGTCTTGTTTCTTATGACTACACAGAATACAAGACATTGGAGTAACACTTTTTTGGGGCTCTTTGGTTGGTTGGTTTTGGTTTAGTTTTGTTTTCTTTTTAAACTTCACCACTGTTACTTGCTTTTCATATCACTGTGAATTACATTGGAAAGCTAGATTATTATTAAGTAAAAGCCCTATAACCAAACAAATACCAAAAACCTACATGTAATTTGTCTTAACAACTTAGTTGGAAATCCCCCCTTCCTCCCCTTGAGTGTGTATTTATACAGAGCTTAACATTTTTGAGATGCTTTGCATTTGTGCCAGCAGTTCTCAAAGTGCCACCAGACGGCAACATGACAGGCAGAAAGCGTTCAGAAGAAAAGCTTTTTTTCTGAAGCACGTTTCAAAGCTAGTTGAATTAGCTCACAAAATCAACATGAAAATTCAAATAGCCTAAGAAGGCTCTAAAATCTAAATTATAAAATCTAAGACTCCAAGTTCAGACACTGTTCCAACTAAAGCTATCTTCCCTGTTGCTGAGAATCAAGCAGAGGTTCACTACATGCTGAATAAATACCCGTTAGGCTTCCAGTCCCAGGGAACACACAGGTAAAAGGATGACACAGCATCTGAATGCAAATCACAGCTCCATTGAGAACCACACACGTGGAAAGTGGGCATATATAAAAAAAATACAGTCGTTATAAACCACTGGGCAAAGAAAGACCCCAATCTAGCATACCCTGGGATAGGGGGCTTTAAATGGTCAGCACGACCAGAGAAGTGCTCAGTCCATGGCTTTAGGGCCATTTTAGAGAACGACAAATGCACACAGTAAATAAATGTGCATCCAAAAAGATGCCTGTGGGCTTTCTCCAAAGCTCAAGTGCTCTGCTCTTCTGTCTCCTGATACAACTGCCGCACGGCTGGCCCTTGGCCACAGCTTTATGCCTACCAGCCTGCTCCAGTCACTCTCTGCTGAGCACCAGCCTTTGCCTGCCCAGACACACTCAGTCCTAGTTACTGAAGCAAAACTACTTACGTATTTTGAAATACTCCAGGAACTTTGTCATTAATATTGTGGTAATATCAGATAGACAGTTAACATTATCATACCAACTTCAAGTAATGTTTGATGTATTTATCAATACTAATCATAGAAAAAGACAAAAAACAACAGCTAAATATCAACATGATTTTTTTCAGAATAAAATGGAGTAGCTCTGAAAGATGACCAATGAGATTGGTGACTGACTGAATTATTTCTGCAATAAATATTTTATAAAAGTACTTTCAGACCCTGCTTGACACCAAGTTCACAGCTCTAATAAGTTAACTTTCTATTACATTCCTTGTGCTATATACACACCAAATTCTGATCAATTAATAAAAAGTAAACCTGACTTATGCCAGCTCTTGCTCAGCTCAGCATTTTATTGAAACAAAATCTTCTTTTATTCAGACTACTCCACACAAAAATAACAACTATTTAGTTTCTTTTTTGTGTTAAACAAAAAGTTTCCTCGGTATAGGCTGTCCAATACTATTCAGAAAGAAATGAGACAACTTCGGCTCGCATCAGGCACACACTGCTGGCTGCTGCACAGCACCCTGATTGCACATGGGCAAGGTCCATGCACAGAACCCACCACAACAGCTCTCCTGTGGGAGACACAGGTAGCCTGAAAACAGAGGCAAAGACAAGCAGCATGTGCCAGCACATTCAGAAATATGATCAACTGTATATGAAAATTATTGAACGTACTCTTGAGCTGGAAATGTTCGTATTCAGAAAGAAACAATTATACTGTGTAACGGCAGAGCTTCACTACTCCTGCGTTCCAATGCAGTCAATGGAAACTTCCTATGTATTTAAAATGAAACCTTAAGACAAAAAACATTTTAAATTATTCCAGGTTACAACTTTGTTCTAGAGCAAACTAGGTATCAGAAGAGGCAAAGAGGAAAGAGAACCTTTCAGGCTTACTCACTTAGCTTACTGTTTTCTACTGTTTACTGCTAGTTGTCTCTGGAGAAAGGGGCTTTACTTATTAGAAGAACAGAACAGAAAAAAAAAGAAAAAAGGAAAAGCCATTTAAGTAGTGAAGCACAGCTATTCAGATTTTTTTGAGTCTAAAAGGCTGTCTCATGCAAACGCCTCAAAGCCAGATTCTGCTATAAAAAATATCATTCACAACAGCTACAAAGATACCTTTTTATGCTGTGGCTTCCTATCTTATAAGAAAATATTTTCAGAACCCTTGAAAAATTCTTCAAGGAATTCAACCATGACAGCTTGATCAGGCAACACTTTAATATAAATGGAAGATATGCAACATAAAATTTACCTACAGTCTGCACAGCTAACCCACACATAGGGTCAGAACAAAACACTGTAAGGACTGACGCTGGCTCAGAGCTCGTTCCAGTTAATTCTCAATGCAAGCTCTTGCCCTGAACACATTGCCAGCCACGTCAGAAGTAGGTCACTTGCCATATCTGGTAAGCCTGTGCTTATACCACCAGATGTCTTTATGCAGACATCAGAAACTCTTAAAATGTGCTCTGTTCCTCAACGGCAAACCTTAAAAGTCCTATACCCCACCAACCCTGCATTAAGAGCGACGCCCAGACAAAAACGTATGAAAACTTTTTTCCTTTTACTTTAGCTTATGTTAAAGAGACGTAGCAATTTTACATACTCCAAAAGTAACTTTGAAGTCAGATATTAGAAGACAAAACAAGGTCTCTCATGTTAATACGTGCTCTACTCCAGCAAAAACCGAGTTACAATTCACCACCTGCCATCAACTCATGAAATACCTCTACTCCAGAGAACATTTAATCAGAGAGAACAAAGGCAGCCTGTAACACAGAACAGTGAACCGGCTGGCAAACACCAGCATACCACAGTAAGCCAGTTAATTTGCTGACTACAAGATCAGACATAGCCCGTATTCACAACTATGCATTTTCCATTTGTCCACAAAAAGGTCAGGATGGTACCTGTGTCGTCAGCCATAACATTAGGGCTCGATTTCCACAGACAGAGCGAATGTGTCGGTATCTCCAAAAAGGAACGTTGCAGGCAGAATAAGAAATTATTTATCCTCACTGTAGTCTTGCAACAGGAGCAAACAAGTTTCCTAAAGCCAGCTCAGCTGGAGCACGAAACTGGACCCAAGAGAAACCTCTCCTCCAAGCCTATTTTTAGAGCAGCTATCCTCAGGAGCCAAACGCTTTTCAGAACTCATATGGCAATCCAGTTCTGACGACAATCAAATTCACTCACTCCTCCTACCAGAGCATCCTGGGTAGCTGATCCTTTCCCCTCCCCTTAATCCTCCAGCATCAAACACAGCAGCGAATGAAACCGAGCACGTTGTACGGCAGTATTTTTGCTGCAGTGTGTGCCTCGATGCCTGAGCTTTGAGGATATTGAATCCATCAGCATAACCTGCAACAACACAAGGCTGGACACAAAGCTTGCCTCCTTGCATTTGCTAAGTTGGCCCCTGCCCAAGAAACTTTCTCCATGTTGGCACTCCTCTGCCGGGCTTCCCGAGTATCCTGTAGAGATTGCTCATTTGAAACTTGCTAGCTACATTAAGAATAAAAGACAGCTGATTTCCAAAATGTAGTTCTGAGCCTTCTGAAAGGGTTACTGGAAACCAACCACGCACATTCTTTCCAAAGAACTTTCCGACCAGAACTGTTTGCCAATACACTTCATCTTTGGTTCCAGCAGACCCAAAGGAGGGTTACTGACCAAACCAAAACCTGTTCCCCTAGAGTGCAATACACAACAGGCCACCAAGGTAAACCAGGCAAAATTCCTACTGCACATGTGTCAGAAGTAGCAGAGGTGTTGATTTGGTTCGTTGCCCTCTGTTTCCAGAAATGCCTAACACGAACTCACCCCACCCCACCTGTAAATCCTGACAACACGTACTCTACCTGTACCATCTAAAGCTAACACAAACGGTCTATGATCAACATAGTCTCTTTTTCTTAACGACCAGAAAAAGAGGAAAAACCCCACTAATATCTTTTTTAAAACAGTTTTTATGTAAAGGTTTTTGGGGTGGGGTCAGAAACAAGTATTTTGAGTAAAATATCTATTAAAGCATTCCCTGTGGATACTATTTCCCCCCATCTATTAAACTACAAGCTTTTATTTAGCCCCTCTCACTACTGTGAGGCAGGTCAGATAGGTGTGTGTATACATATATATACACACACTTTTTTTGTGATATGTATTTTAAAATCTAGACTCAATAAGCATCTGTGTTGAACTGATCCGTTCTGAGAAGTCCACACACCATAACGACTGCAAGTGCTATCCTGAGGTAAAACACATTGCCATATTTTATTTTCATTCAGCGTACCAAGGGTGGAATAATAGACTTCTAATGGACAAATCTGAGCTTCCGATGTGCTTTGGAAAATCCAATTTCATTAGGGAAACAGGGCTACTGTTTACTTTACAGATACAATGGAGATTTTTACCAAAATACATAATTTTACTAAAATAATATTATAAAATACATATTTATATTATAAAATATTCCAACCTTAAATTTTCACAAATATCCATACTCAGGAATTTTTGTTTGTTTTACAATCAGTCATGACAGCAAGGTCTTTAGAGACAAGATCTAAAGTTTAAGATAAAGTTTTACTTTTAATAAATTCAACATAAATTCTTTTTGATACATGACTGATTCTTCCTTTTGGTATCTAAGAAATCTTCAGCACCGCAACCTTAATGGAAATTAGGGGGAAAAAAGTGGCTTTTTTATTACTATTATTCTCATTAAAAACTAGATCTCTGCTCTGCACTTTATACAATCTAGTCTACACGTTTATAAAGACACCTGTGCACATTATCAAAGGACTTCAACAAACTAAATCAGAAACTTACCAGTTAGGAACAGGAAAATGGGTGAAAAAGAAAGAGCCGTAAGTTCAAAGAAAACACAAAGACCAGAACTTAAAGATTAAATGTTACAGTTGCACTGGAAGAGGTTGCCCAGAGTTGCCCCATCCCTGGAGGGGTTCAAGGCCAGGCTGGATGAGGCTTTGGGCAACCTGGGCTAGTGGGAGGTGTCCCTGCCCATGGCAGGGGGGTGGGACTGGATGATCTTTAAGGTCCCTTCCAACCCAAAACTTTCTATGATTCCATAATTCTATGAAATAAGAAGTTAGCCAAATTAAAGGAAATTTTTGCTCTCCTGCTGCCACTTGACGGATTTTTTACTCTAGTGTTTGAAGAGCTTTTCCTTATTCCACATACCATCAATCCTCACCTAAACCTTTAAGCTCTTTAATTTTCAGTCCTTAGAACATTTCTTGTAGTATTGTATCCTACCATACAAACTATCAAAGAGCAATACAAACACTGAAACCAAGAGCAAAGTCATAAATTCAGGATTTGACAACTAAGCAGACTGACTGTGGAGATGCCGAGGGTGGCCAGCTGAGGGTAGGGGGAACGGAGATGCATCATAAAATATGTAAAAAACCCCAAGGCAAAATGCTGAACTTCCCTAGTGAAAGGAAGCTCCTCCCTTAACCAGATAAAGGGATTCCACTGAACCACCCCCTGGAGTTCAGCACTTAATCAGGATGTGAAAGATCAGGGATTTAATTCTCTCTCTGTACCGGGAAATAGTGTTGGAATTTCTTTGGGGGTCTAAACCACATTTTAAGTATACCCAAGGGAGTGAAAACAAAGCCATTTTAGTCTCTCATGAGGAAGCTGTTTGCTCGCGCACAGTCAAATCTTAACTGGCCCCAATACCAATTTGTAAGAGAGGAGCTCTGCAGAACAGAGACTGAAGCCCAGCTTCCCCCCCTTTCTAGGTAAGAAAGGGATTCCAGACATTACTGGCCTGTTGTCACGCTCACTCTCAGCAGGCTGAATCTCTGTTTCACATTGCATACAAACAGTTTCAACAACAAGAATCTAAAATACACACTCTAATTTCTGTTCAAGTATACACCATAAAGAGCACTGCAACACTGAAAGCCAACCAAACTTCTTTTTCAAGAAGAAAATGGAATTTGAACTCTTGTTCCTGTATCCTGGGTACGAGCTCCAATTAGCCAAGTATTGCCCAAAAGTAAGAATCCACTCCTTCCAGCCCCGTTCTACACACAATCAGATCTGCAAACCTATTACCCAAAAATACGCTTCAAGTAAAATAGATACACACTGTTTTTTTCCTTTTTTGTATTCAGTATACAAAGAAAGATGGTCAATCCTTTTAAAGAGTCAGCCCATTTCGGAATATAAACTGTTACAGTTCAAAGTACGTTTAACCCTATACAGACCTTTCTGTCTCACAGGGAGCACCACGATGTTTAGAAGACCTTGTAAGTTGCAAGCTAAGGTGATTTGTTACTAAGTGAGCATTAATTATTCTTCAGAAAAAAAACCAACACAAAAAAGAATAAGATTATCAACCCGCTGACTGATGTCAAGCATCATTCCCAGGGTTGTTTTTTTTAACTATTACACTCACACAGTTACATTTATTCCGCCTACAAGCAGCAAACAAATCCCGATTGCTTCCCATTTTTCTAAAACATAGATACTCAACAAACCCCAGGAAATTTATTCAGAAGAAAATTCTTTATAAAAGAAACACAAGTTTTTTTCTTTCTAAGATAAAAAGTCACAAATTAAAGACGAAAATAAACTTAATGAGAAATTCTGTCCTAGGAGGTTACACAGCTTCGTAAGACGTGTCGAAGGCATTTTACCCAAATGCAGCAAACAGTGAATTGTACTGCCAGTGCCAGCTCTGCACTTTCAGTGGGGTTTGGAGAGTCCAGCTGTTGCCACCATACGAGCTGCTGCTGTGAACTTTCCTCTGCAGTTCTTGTTATCTAAGCACAACTGTCGGAGCCCAGGGAGGCAGACGTGAATACAGAGATATTTGTTAATAAGAGAAGAGCCTGAATCTGCACCTGTTTCTTTTCCAAGCATGCTAGAAAGACGTTCACTTTCCAAAGACAGACAAATTTTGTCCAGGTCATGTTTTGGGTTTTTATTTTCGGGTATTCAGATGAGCATTTTTTTGGATAGTTCTTCAATTGGAATTTAGTACAGAGAAAAAATACACACCAAAGTGCACGCAGCTTACACCACTAAAAATGACTCTGCTTATAACTTGGAAGAGTTTTATAACCAATACTGACTATCAACAGGAGTATATTTAAAGCAGTATTTAAGGCATCCATCACATACTATCTAAACAATTTGGATTACTTTTTTTTTTTTAAACCCTTCCTCCACAAATTTAAAGATAGTACAATAACAAGCTTAGAGAGTTAGCCCTTCAGAACAAAAACAGAGAAGAAAGCGTTACTACATTCTGATATGTTTCACAAATACTTCAGTCATTTTCAGGTTTCAGGTTTTACGTGTATACAAACACAAAACAGAATTAATGTCCAAAACTGAATGTAGAACTTGCCTCTTGTAGACTTACTTGACCCAAAAATAGATTTTGTACCCTCTCTGCTCCCTCCCTTCTTTCAAGCCGCCCCCCCAAAATTCTAACATTGACATGTTAAACATCAAGCCAAGAAATTCAAGGTTAAGACTGCAAGCTTATGAAGAAATTTTTGTTTGTTTCCTGCTGCAGGATCAACACACCTGCCACAGCTATAACACTGACAAGGAGACAAAATTAATTCAGATTTTAACAGTGGAGACGACAAAGATCTTTCATAGCTGCTATTTTAACTAACCAGTTCTCTCCCACAGAATATTTTGAAATAATAAGATTTAAAATTATACAATCTATCTATCTTGTGTTTGAATGATTTAATGTAGCCAATAGTCCTACATAATTACCAGGTTAATTAAATATATGGCTGTATTTAGGGCAGGACACAGTTCAGGAAAGATAAATGTAGAGAGGAAATACAAGAAATATTTAAGCCTAGAACATGCAAATTCTGCTGGTGGTGACCTTTAAAAACTTTCTGTTACATAACACTGAAAATCCTCATCTCTGCATACAGCATGCTGGCATTAATTTTAGGGTATTTTTCCCTTGTTCCATTTTCCTATCCTGTAATGTGGGTCACATCAAATTGTTTTAGCAACAAGTCCCAATTAAGCCACAAAGGAAAGAAAACAGACGATGTCATTTTAGTTCTTTCATTTTTCTCCTGGTGTGAAGGATTTTCAAACAGAAGCAAATAAAACTTCAGTTGCCACGCAAGTACCTACAGCTTTGCTATCCATGGATTTCTGCTCACAGAAAAAATAATTTCTTAAAATCCTT